GAGTACAGGGTAGGGGATAGACACAGGATAGTTTGGGTGCTAGGGAGGGGGCAATATACAAGAAGGGGGAGGGGAATGGAAGAACAAAGCAGACAGGAAAACAATTAGGCAGGTTTGCATGGGCTAAGTGGGACAGAAGTAAATAATGATGAATGCACACTCCTGGGAAACAGGGCTCTGGGATACAGGGATTGAGACATGGCTGGAATTGGGGAAAGGGGATAAATAAGATGCTTGGCTGTATTTTGAATCTTGGTTTCCCTGGCATACCATTATAAAATAGACACTTGAGGGGGAGAGAAAGGAATAGCCAGAAATATCACCATAGAAACCTAGTAAGTCCTTCTTCTGCCTATAACTGATTGGAATACCTAAAATGGGGCTACAACTTGCCCAGGGAAGGAAGCTTCCTGTGGAGCCTCTGCATTACATAAGACCATAGGTGGAATCCTGAATCCCATCCAGAATTTTCTGAGGTGGGAAATTTCCACTGGAAAGGACAAGCAGACCAGCCTGGAGTGGCTAGAAGAACAGAAGAAACTTCTTGAAAGAAAGACCGACGGGAAAAATATAAAACAATAATGTCAGACTGACTAATTACTACAAGAACAAGCAAGTTGCTCGCCCAGGAGACATCAAGGCAAGTGATAGGGTCCCCTCAGGAGAAACCCCCTTCTAAGACTAAGCTGCACAGGAACTGTTTAAAGTGTTGAAGAGCAAAGATATCAGCTTGAGGACTAAGGTGAGCCTGACTCAAGCCATGGTATTTTCAATAACCTCATATGCATGCAAAAGCTGGACAGTGAATAAGGAAGACCGTAGAAGAATTGATGCCTTTGAATTATGGTGTTGGAGGAGAATACTAAAAGTGCCATGAGCTGCCAAAAGAACCAATAGCTCTGTTTTGGAAGAAGTGCAGCCATAGTGCTCCTTAGAGGCCAAGATAGCCAAACTTCGTCTCTCATACTTTGGACATATTGTCAGGAGGGAACAGTTGCTGGAGAAGGATATTATGTTTGGTAAGATAGAGTGTCAGAGAAAAAGAGGAAGACCCCCACAGAGATGGATTGGCCAGGTGGCAGCATCAATGGACTCAAGTGTGGCAACAGTAGTGAGGTTGGCCCAGAATCGGACATTGTTTCGTTTTGCTGTGCATAAAGTTGCTGTGAGTTGGTGCCGACTCGATGGCAGCTAACAACAACAAAGACTAAGACTCAATGGGAATACATGCTCTGATTGGTGACCACATTCATCACCGATAAGGGAAAGTGAGGATAAAACAGCAATGAAGCTGCAAGCTGAGCCCTACCACTAATAGACTCCTGTGAACCCGGGTGAAGACCTGGTTGGCCAGAAGTGTGGCAAGACCTGAGGACTCCTGGGCCCAGAGTCAGTGACATACCCACAGAGGACAAGAGTGGAGAGTGAAGCATCCATCATAAGAAGAAAAGGTATATGCATACGAATACACACACTTGCAGATAATACCCACTTGACCTGGCTTCAATGACTGAATGATCAGAGCTCAACTAGAAGAAGAAAGAAGAGGAAAAAAAAGAGTAATCTAATACAATTTGATGAACTTGACCTACATTTATGGATGCAGTAGCTCAAGACAGGGAACAAATCTTTACACCAAGAATCATTCCCACACCCTCCATACACAGAGTAGACAGGGATGGGCAGTTTGGACATTGGCTACCCAAAATGGGGGGGAGGGGCTACAAAGGCAAGAAGTGACTGGCTTACAAGCTTTCAAGAGGGAGCCTAGACCCAGAGTGCATGGAAGAAGGTAGACTCTCCACTGAGTGGTATCCAATCTGTCTGGGCTGGGCTGATGAAATGAGACATGCATAGCCCTCATGTGATACAATAGTGACTGACTGTGAGGGTTGGAAATGTAAAGGTAGACGTTTTGTAGCAAAAGGAGGGGAGTGGCTGACTTTGAAGTCCAGGAGTGGAGGGTCCTGGGACCATCAAGGGAGAAGAGCGGAGTGTGGAATCCTACACCAGAGATGGAGGCAGAGACTATGATGTGGAGAGATGGTAATGGCTGAGGACAGTATACCCAGAGAGGGGGAGGGGCTGTGTGCTGACAACCAGGGGGCAGACTTGCAGGATGTACCATTTGGTTGGTTGGTGATGCATGGAGAGGATTGTAACCATGGCAATGAAACAATACAAGATAGCATGAATGTAAAGCTAATGTTCTCCCATGTAAACTATCACATAATTCACAATAAAACATTTTTTTTTAAATGTTGTTTTTGTTGGTAAGTGCCGTTGAGTCTGTTCCAACCTATAGCGACCTTGTATAGGGTTTCCGAGGAGCAGCTGGTGAGTTTGAACTCTTGGCCTTGCAGTTCAAACCAACCTTGTGGTTGACTGCTTATCCCTACAGCGCCACACCAGGACTCCAAAGAATATTCCTTGTGAATAAAAATTTATAGTTGAAAAATCCATACTTTAATAGAAATATATTTAGAGATATATGGTTTAGATAAGTAACTGTAGAGATATATAAAGGGACTTCAAAAAGCTCCTGGAAAAATGGAATTGAAAGATAATGGAACTTTTTCATGAGCTTGCTGAAGTTCCCTGGTATAGCAGTGGGAGTGGGGTGGCTCCATACGGTAAACACTAGACTGCAAACCACAAGGCTCATGGTTTGAGCCCACCAGATGAGACTTTTTGCTCCTGCAAAGATTTTTTAAAAACTGAGAAATGTTATACAGGGTCACTATGAGTCGGAGCTTAACTTGACGGCACTAACAACACATAGCAGAGATGGCAAACGTCAGAGATGCTTGACGTAAGTTCATGTCTGAGATGATAGCCAAAAAAAGGCATCTGAAATGTCAAGTTAGAACCACTGACCACAGCAGCCAAGTGGCTTGGAGGCCATACAGATAAGTTCCCAGCCTGTATGAGATTAGGCCCAGTATTCCACATTTTGGACCATTCATTCACTTACTGATGTTACACAAATATGAAGAAGACAGGGCTTCCTTTTCTAAGGATCTCTCGCAGCTCACCTAACCCATGCTTTTATCTGCCCTGGAACCTAGACCTGGACAGCCCACCATTGTCATCACCAGGCAAGCTTAGCATCATTAGAAATGACTCCTTTTGCAGCTATCTTCAAATTTACTTTTTCGTTCTCTGGGTGGAAGCAGAATAACAAGTCACCTTTGAAATACAGGTGTGTCACTTAATGTCCATGATACGTTCTATGAAGTAGGACAGTATGTGATTTGCATGTTATGCGAATTCTGTACTCTATGTGGTATATGTGTTTGTGACACTATAGGATAAGCACTGGACTGCTAACAGCAAGGTCAATGGTTCAAACTCACCAACCACACCTCAGAAACCCTATTCAGAGTTGCTGTGAGTTGGAACAGAATCCACAGCACATAACAACAACTTGTTTGTATATATTTGATACACATATATCAAAGTAGCCCCGTGAGAGCTGCTCTGGCTCTCTAATTGTGTGCAGCCTCCGGCTTTGCAAACTTGCACCTGCAATTGGCTGCCCAGTACACTGGGCATACCTGTACCCTGACTTCATTCATGTTCGTAAATAGCTGGAGGGAACAGCTCTGCTCTGGAGAACAAGATAAGAACTGTAATTAAGGTTTAGAAATTCAAACACATAATTCTCTAATACTTTCACACTGACCACCCAAAAATGCATTCTTATTTTTATGATAACATTTGTATTGCACTGAACAATTCCTAGATCAGCTTCATATTATCATCAGTTGGTAAGAGGTTTTTTTAGTAGGTACAACCCTTTTCACAACTTCAGATCAGGGCACATAACCTGCCCTTTGCAGATTAGGAAACAGAGGCTTCATATAGCTAAGTGACGTTCTCGAGATTCAGGATGTACAAGTCAGGACTAAATAAAACTGATCTTTTTACTATGTCTTGTGGTCTCCCAGGGATGTATGAAAGCAACCTGCTGTAGTAACCGAGGGGTTTGGGGATGCACTGTGAAGATTAACAATGAGGCAAGGGAAATTCTAGGACAAAATAGTGTTTCTCTGCTAGAATAATCTAAACAGGAAAACAACATAAACTCAAAGTACTGGCAAAGTAAAAAAAGACAAAAAGATCAGAGGTAAAACCATCTCTTCAAGACATACAACTCTGAAGACAGAGAATATTAAAATAGCTTATGGTGAACTAAATGTTGATAAAGCAGAAACACTGTGAGGCTTTTGATACTTGCTGTTGTGGTAAAGTGCTGTTGAGTCAGTTCCCACTCTTAGTGACCCTTCTGACTAGGGGGCTTTTTGTGGCGCTGTAGGATAAGCACTAGACTTCAAGGTCGATTTGAACTGCTAGGTCAGTGGCTCAAACTCAACATCCATTCCTTGGAAACACTATGCAGAGTTGCTACGTGTCAGAACTGACTCTACAGCACTTAATAACAACAACAATGTTATCTGGGGGTCTTGGTGTGGTGCTATAGGATAAGCACTGAGCTGCTGCTAACTGCAAGGCCAGCGGTTTAAACCCACCAGTAGTTCCTTGAAAATCCTATACAGAATCACTATGAGTTGGCTCTGACTCATCACCATTTAACAAAAATAATGTCATCAAACCACTCCTACGGTGTATATTAAGTACCTTGGGTAACACAAATTATTTGATTTCAACTGCTAGCCAAAAGGTAGATGGTTCAAACCCACTCAACATTACTGCAGAAGAAAAGGCCTGGGTGATGTGCTTCCATTAAGATTACAGACAAGAACACCTTATGAAGCAGTTTTACTGTCTAACACATGGGGTTTACGTGAGCCAAAAGGAAGTTGACAAGTAGCAACAACATAGAGTATGCTAAAAATCAATTTACATATGCATAGATCACACCATTTACACAGAGGAAAAACCTTCAATTCTTACTTAAACACAAAAAATAAATAATCTAGAAAAAAAACCTAGAGCTATTATCTGGAAATTTTTTATCTTTTTATGTTTGAACATACCACAAAAACAGGATCATTGGCAGCTGAATGTGGCAAAGCATTTGTCCCGTTCAGGAAGAAATGGACTAAATTATGAAGGTTCACCATTTGAGAATCCAGAGTCCCATCTGCTTTCTCAAACCCTTCCAGGGCATTCCTGGGAGAGACCAGAATATCAGCAACAACAGTCAGTTTGATTGAGCTCTCTTTTTATTCTATCTAGCTCACATGATAGTCTTCTAATTGGAGAATGAGCAATGATATGGGAAAATCTATCATAAAGACTCCTGGTGTGGTGCTGTAGGATCGGCACTGGACTGTGAATCACAAAGTTGGCAGTTTAAACCAACCAGCTGCTCCTTGGAAACCTTATGCAAGGTTGCTATGAGTTGGAACCAACTTGACAGCACTTGACAACAACAAACCACAACTAATTAACTAAGAACTAGATCAAATCTTTGATTATGCTCTACTATAAAGGGAGGGAGCTCTTAATTAATGCTGCTTCTGCATCTTCTTAGTTGAATTAAAACTCTTTAGTATATAACATGCCAATTATTTATCCTTGTAACTGTCTTCTACACCAGACGATGGGGCCTGGTGTGATGCTGTAGGATAAGCACTGGACTGCTAACTGAAAGGTTAGTGGTTCAAACCCACCGGCTGCTCCCCGTAGCTCTATACAGAGTCGCTATAAGTCAGAACCACTCTACAGCACTTAACAATTTAGCAACACCACCATTACTACAAAACCATAAACTTCTAGAGAGCATCAGTTGCCTGTTTTCGTTGAGTTGATTCTGACTCATGACAACTCCATGTATGTCAGAGTCTAATTGTGCTGTAGGGTTTCCTATGACTGATTTCTGTCTTTTCTGAACATATTATTGTGTTTGAAGTGAATAATGGCTAATTTGTCAGAAGTAGGTCACCAGAATTTCTTTCAAGGCACTTCTGGTTGGATTAGAACCTCCAATCTTTTGATTAGCTGCCAAACATGTTAACTGTTTGCACCACCCACCCAGGAATTTCAAGACTTTCCTAACACTGACTCCTGGTGTGGTGGTGTGGGATAAAGCACTGGACCAAAAGGTTGTTTTGAATCACAAGATTGGTGGTTCAAACTCACCCCAGCCACTCCTTAGAAACCCTTTACAGGGTTGCTATGAGTCGGAACCAACTCAACAGCACTTAACAACAATTCCTTATGCTATTTTCTTATTATCCCTTCTCCATAACTGTTGTTTTTGTCCTCTCTCCATTACTCCATTTTGTACATGTCTCCCAACATCGGGATTTCCTTCTAATGTGTTATCACCACAAGCAGAACAATCTAAAATCTTGTAAGTTGCCATTAAAGCACAGCCTGAAGCACCAACCTGAAGCTGAAGTTAGAGTTCTGGAAAAAAGGAGGATTGTCAAACTTATTGAGGGACAGACAATCTTGTACGTCTTTTAAGCTTGGCAACTTCCCATCTTCTCTTCCCACTTGATTTCTTCTCAACAAACCTTCATAGGTTCCATTACACAGGGTGACCCGGCGGTTATAGTCATCCAGGCTAAGATTTGAAAGATTAAAAATAACATGTCTTAACTCATCAATAGTGTCATAACTTGAGTCCAAGAAGACAAGTCAAGAGCATAGTCACAGTAAATTTTTAACACAGTCATAAAAAAAATTTAAAAACCCAGTGGTAAAATGACCATCTCCAAAGCACTTGTGCATTAAGAAGTTTCAAAATCGTAGATGGATAAAATATGAATATTAGAATAAATATGAAGAAGAATTAGTATTCCATTGGAAAGATGGCTGGAGAGTCCTGTTATGTGCCCTTAAACTTTTAGTATCTGAAGAGAGGATAGTCTTTCTTCTATTATCCTTAGTATTATTCTAAGTTAAGTCATTTTGAGTAGAAATGGTTACAAAAAGCTAGGAAAACTTTTAAGGCAAATTATTGTTAAGCACTGTGAAGTCGGTTCCCACTCATAGTGATCCTGTGTAGGGCTTCCAAGGAGCAGCTGATGGGAAAGGCAAGTGGAAGTCGATAAATCACATGAAACTACATACAGGAGACATATTAGAAGAAGCACTGGACTGGACTGCAGTATTAGAAAAGATTCAAGGCACTGAGAGTTAGGTGACAATTATGGAAGCTGAGAAGGTTCCCTAAAACATTGTTTCCTACATACACGTCGTGACCTGAAATTCCATCATCAGAGCATAATTTTATTGGCAGAAATGAAATTATAAAGCTGTTATTGCCTGGTTTTCATGCATGAGGGTAGGACTGCATGCATGAGAATGGAATCAGTGCACACACACAAGAATAAAAGATATCAAAACCTAAACTAAAATCTAGACTCAAAAAAGAAAGACCTCCAAGGTAGCATCTCAAATGGCACTTAACAATAATGGCAAATGCTTGGGGTTCTGGTGTAGTGCTATAGGATAAGCACTGAACTGCTATCCACAAGGTTGGATTTCAAATCCACCAGCCACTCCTCAAAAACCTGATACAGGGATGCTCTGTGCATTGAGTTGGAACCAATTCAATGGCACCAGACATAAACAATCATATATGCTATAACATGTACAATTCTGTAACAGTAATAAACCAAAACCTGCTGCCACTGAGTTCATTCTGACTCATAGCAATCCCAGAGGACAGAGTAGAACTCAAATTTGTGAGTGGTTACCTAGGAGATATCTATGGTAGAAAGGCGTGGGAGGGATATGAGAGTGCATGTGCCTGCAGGCATAGGTGTAACTGTGGCCATTTGTATGTACATACTTGTATGGGCTCCATGTAGATTCATAAATATACAGTAGAGCACAGAGGGAGTACAGTTAGAGAACCTTGTTGTTAAGTGCCGTTGAATCAGTTCCAAATCAGAGCAACCTTGCATAGGGTTTCCAAGGAGTAGCTGATGGATTTGAACTGCCAACAACCTCTTGAGTAGCAGTCCTGTGCTTATCCTACAGCCCAATACCTCCTTAGATATGTTAAAAAAAAAAAAAACTAAAAAAAAACAAAAAAACCCCCCACAAAACTCATGGAACTGATTTACTGGATTTGAAGGCCATATCCTTAGGGTATCTAGGTCAATTGGTGTAACATGGTTCATAAAGATAATATTCTACATCCTAGTTGGTGAGTAGTGTCTTGCATCTTGAAAGCTTGCAAGTGTCCATCTAGTAGATACAACTGCTAGTCTCTTTCCATCTGGAGCAAAGTAGAGTGATAAAAACAAGCTGTTAATCACAACACCACCAACCAAAGACTGAAGGAAAACAAAGACTCCCAGAAACAATCAGTCTACAAGACTATGGTCTACACATCCCACAGCCTTCTCTAGCCTGAGAGCAAAACTAGATGGTACCAGCTACCACTAAAGAACACTGTGGCTAGAGATACAATAAAAGATCCTTGTTAGAATGGGAGAAACATATAGAACAAAACTCAATTCCTAGAAAAGACCAGAAGACTTTATGGACTGATTGATAGAGACTGGAAGAACCTTCAAGACTAATGTCCTAAGGTATTCTTCTAACCTATAACTGAAGTCAGTCCTGAAGGGTACCTTTCAGCCTAATAATAGATTGACCTCTCAAATAAACAACAACACCTGCAAAGAAAGCACTCCTTAGAACATTCAGCTATACTAGGCCAAATGAGCAACATTTATCCAAAAGCAAAGATGAGAAGGCAAAGGGGACTGGAGAGACGGAAAGAAGAAAGGCAGGGTAGAAAGGAGAAGAGTGTTGATGTACTGCAGGGATAGCAACCATTGTCAAGGAACAGACTGTGTATAAATTGTTGAATTAGAAATCAATTTGCTATGTAAACTTTCACTTTCACCTAAAACACAATAAATTGTTAGAGAAAAAAAAAAAAGCAAGCTTTTAAAAAAGGAAAGCAAAGGAACCTCTTGGGGAATTGTTCTTGCAATGTGTTCCAGGAAAGAGCAACAAACCACGGAGTCTTTGAGGACAGAGTTCTTCATGGACTGAAGAATGTCTACTTGCTCCTTTCTTCTTTAGTACTTCAGAGATCATTCTCTCCCTACCCCATGGTCCTCTCTCCCTCAGCTGACGAGCATAGTCCAGCCGTACCACACGGCTCCCAAGGACATTTACACTTTATCCATGTTGGCTCCTCCACCTGGGACACACTTACTACTCTCCCAAACTCTCCTCACCTTCGCCTGCTTTGGTATGTTTCTTGACTTTCTTCTTGGCTTTGGACATTTACCTATTCTGCTACTTCTCACATTGAACAGTATTGAAATTTGTTAACCAGAGCTGTCTTTGTCTGTCTATAACAATAATCAAAAGGGAGTGTAGATACTCATATTACTCATCCTTGTATTTCCAGCATGGTTACATTGTCTAGAATATAGTAATTGCTTAATAAATTATATGGTAGATGCAGAAACTATTCCTAATTTTAACATAGTTGATCATCAAAGTGATGGTCTAAATACTCAATTGACATAAGTGATTTTGATACATGTATCTATTTGGTTTTTTATTGACAAGCTTAAAGGTGTTTGTTGTTGTTGTTTTTACAGCCCATCTTCCATGGGAAAATCATTTAATGAAACATGTAGACAGAATACATTAGAAACAGTGATATAAAATGATTTCTCCATTTGATTCAGTTGCTGTTGTTATTAAATGCCATCAAGTCAGTTCTGACTCATAGCAACCCTATATTGGGTTTCCAAGGAGTGGCTGTGGGTTTGAACCATCAACCCTGTGGCTAGCAGTCCAGTGCTTATCCTACAGTGCCATACCAGGACAACTTTGAAAACAATTTGCAAAGTGAAATAAGTTAGTAACAAAAGGACAAATATTGCATTAGTCAACTTACATAAAGTATCTAGAATAGGCAAGTGTAGAGAGGTCAAGGATTAGTGGTTGCCAGGGACAGGCAAGAGGGAGGACCGCCTGCTCAGCAGGCAGGGTCTCTGTTAGAGGGGATGGGACAATACTGGGACAGATGGCAGTGGTTGAACAACATGATAAACATTATTGCTCATACACTGAACTGTATGTGCAAAGATTGTGGAAACGTTAGCTATTCTGTCCTATATGTATTTACCGCAATTCGGAACCAACAAAGAAGACAATGAAAGAAAATGTGGTCTCTGAACTTCCATTCCAGGTTCATGTGTCATTACCTATCGCAGACAATTTCCCAGCTGGAGAATCTTGAGCTCTGACTAATCAAAGTTGGCTCATCTTGTCTGGCTGCCCCGAATAGCTGGTCTGTACACACATCGCACTCATTTCTCCCAGTAGCAAAGTTCCAGTAGGGCAAAGCAAAGGACTCATTGCCGGTCAGTCTCTAAAAGAAAAAGGCATAACCAATCATTTATTCCATGCCATCACATCAACAAGAAAGATTCAAAAATGTTGCAGCAAATTTTATAACAAAATTAAAAGCATTAAATGTGAAATTCTGACCAACCTGGAGATCCCTTTCTAACAATAACAAATGGTACCGGTGCCAAGTAACAAAGGCAGGTCCTTGGTGTGAGAAATCTATGGCCTTGTACGGGCGTCCTGGTCCTAAAACAATTGTAAAAATTATTCAAGTCACAGGATGTAATTTTTAAATGTTGAGCTTTTACCTGGAATGTGTCTGTAGAGCCAACAAGTCCATGATGGTAAAAATAATAATAATAATTCATTTATCTGAAAGCAACAATAAGGATAAAACAATTTCAGAAGCAAGTAAGGAACACTTTTGGGATACACACTCAAAAAGTTTGATTTTCAGCAGCGATTCAGAGAAATCTAGGTCACTTTTAGTTTTAAGAGCCCCCCCCGCTATAGATTTAAATCTTAAGCAACAATTTGTTAACATGAAATAGAGTATCCAAAAGACTAAATCGCTAAGACCTCAGTATTTATTTTCAGAAAAAGATTTTCTGACCTATTTCTTACAAATACAGATTTATAAGAGATGGGTTAATTAATATTATAGAAACATCAACTGCACTTTGTTCTGATGCAGTTTTAATATAACCTAAAAAGAACTTGCCTGGAGTTTGCTTCACCAATCTATCAGTTACAAGTACTAGCTGACAAGCTTGCTAGCTGAGACCAGACGAGAGAAAAATAGATTCAAACCAATTTGGCTGGTCACTGAAACTGCCAATTTTAGTGAAAAGCTTTGGGCTATTTAATGACCTCCTTACTGCCTTTTCCATCTTTCTTCCCCTTTCATAACAGCTTTTGATGGTTATGTAGAAACTTTAGCCAACTTTAGCTCTTTTCAAAGTACCTATAATATCTTCTGAGAGCTGAGCAGACATGAATATAAATTTAATTCCTAGATACGACCAGAAACTATAGTTTTCTTTTTCTCTTGAGAGACTATCCTCTCATAAAGCAAAATTTCCTCAGAATGATGACAGAAAAACTATAAAGGTTTATAGCCAGAAGAGCCTCCTTATCTATCGATAAAGAAAGACAGATGCTTATCTGTGAAGCAAGTTTTTAAAAGACTAGTGCTGGAAAAGAACTGTTTTCACTGCTGTTGGCTATATCATCTTTTTTTCTCGCTCTCTCTTTTTGAATGCCTTAATCCAGAGTAAAGTTTAAAATTCTCAAAACTAAATGATGAGGCAGAACAGGTGATAAACCCAAGCACAGACGATTCTAAATGAGATTCTCGCTATTAAAAACAAGCTCTAGATTGTCACTCGCCCTTACCCCAGTGAGGTGCTCCAAAAGTGAGGAGAGCTGTAGGTTCAGAACTTACAGACAAGAGCTCTGAACTGCTCTGGGATCTACAATGGATTCAAATCTTCCTGGAACAAACTGGTATTTATGGTTTGCCCCAGACTAAAAAATAATTAAGGACGAAGTTGGTTAAATGACATTTATAACAGAAAACATCCCGCATGCCAAGTCCTACCCAGACCCAATTTTAGAATCTTGAAGCAGAGAGCGTCATTTTCTGACTAAAATGTTGTGCTGTAGCTCAACTTACTTTTCCTTGACAAAAAAACAACAACAACAACCAGCGACTATCAAGCCAATTCCATCTCCTGGCAGCCCTATGTTGGACAGAGCAGTGCTGTGTTGCATAGGGTTCTCCATGACTGATATTTTGAAAGTAGCTCATTGGGCCTTCCTTCGCGGAATCTCTGAGTGGACTCAATCTCCAATCTTCCAGTTAGCAGCCTAGTGCATTAACTATTTGCACCTCCCAGGGACTCCTCCTTGACAAAGCAATGCTAAAAAAAATGCCTGGAGATTCCCAGCAGTGTCTGGGTACCACAACGTGTTATCTGAAAGTCTACAGTGCAATACACGGGGTTTAACTAGGCACATACTTTCAACACAAACCATCGAATTCTGCACAAACACATTCCACATGCTTTAGCACATACTCAGTTAATCCTTCTAATTTGAAGGCAAGTTCACAGAGGACTCCCATGCCCATATATTTTCCTCTGGGATCAAAATGCATTCACCTCTACTTACCAACTTTTGCCCTTGAGGATTAATAGCTTCATAGACAGCAATTTAGACTTTGAACCCAGAACCCAACTAGAGAAGAGAATGGCGTAAAGTGTCTACAATCACATGCAGGAAAACTTGCTGTATTCTTACTTTAGGCAGTATTTGCTAATTCCTTAACTTTCATAAACCTAATTCTCCCTTGAGGTTGCTGTCTTGTTAATTTACTTACCGGAAGTTACTTCCCACCTCTCACAATCTCAAACCTAAAATTGCCTACGTTAATTCAAGGGAGGAAAAAAAAAACCTACCTAATAATGTATCTCTGACAGAGTAATAGTGGAGCCACACAAAAAAATCATAAATACTGCAGTTGGCAATTTGTGGCTGGGTTCCACTGGGTCCAAGCAGGCCAAGCCAGTGCTGGGTGGTGATCACGTAGTCAGGGTGTGTGGTCTTCTTTGCAAGGTCCAAAGCACCCAAAAACTGCTCCCTCTCCTCAGGAGTCAAGGCATGGATATCTTTCCGAACAACGGGTGGTTTCTTCTGATTACAGTTGGGACCAGTCCAACCAAACTTGCAGTCTCCACAGTTATAGCTAGCAAAGTTTCCTAGTTTATAAAAAAGAGAGTGATGGATAAGAAAGGTATATTCTTTGCTTTATGAAGGAAATTTGTGGATTTGAACTCGAATGTGGTAGTATGGTACAATGAACTCCTTTTTATGTCTCTTCTAGCTACGGTCTCTGGTCTCTGTAACTCCCAACACTCTACTTTTTTCTAATGGATCTGGGGAAAGATGCTGATGGATTATCATTCAATTATGATTGATCGTTAACAGGGTGAAAACTTGGAACTCTAACATGGGTATAAAATGAGCCATCTCAGAAGGAGAAATGCAAGAAGAGTCAGGAGTGGAGTGTGTCCTTTGAACTCTGAACTTTGAACCTCCTGGACCCAGGGACAGAAAGCTGTGATACTGCAGGAGAAGCAGAGGAGCAACAGCAGCATGCCAGACAGAGCAACTAAAGCTGAGTGACTCTGGGAGAGAGGCAGCTTTCAAGATGGGATGTCTCCAGGCACTCAATTGGGGGAACAAGTTTTACTAATCCACAGAACTAAGTGCCTTCGGGCAGAGGCTTTTGATGGAATGGTGTACCCTGTGAGCATTTATCAGGAGCCCTAAGAAAGCTTTGTAACATTGTCAGAGGCTTTGTAACAAGGGCAGAGGCCAGGGCAAGGGCTTCAGAGACATTTGTCTGTGAGCACAGCAGAGGAGCGGCTGTCCTGAGCAGGAGAGCTGTGCCCTGAGCATTTCTGACCCTGTTAGCTTCCCTAATAAGCTCCATAACTGTCAGTGTGGTGTCTGCATTCTGAGTTGCCATTGCAATGAATTCTTGAACCCAGCTGACTAGAGAGTGCTGTGGAAAGAATGGCTGGTGCCATTTGTTTGCAGGTAGAATGGAAGGAAAGAAGGTATTACAAAGAATAGAGCACATTTCTTCCTACTTTATTCTTACCACCACTGTCTTTCTCAGCAGGGTCTAACTGGAGTGAAATGGCTCAAAGCCCTAGAACACCGAGTTAAGGAGCTCTGGTAGCATAGTGGTTACGAATCGGGCTGCTAACCTCAAGGTCGGCAGTTCGAAACTACCAGCCATTCTCCGGGAGTAAGATCAGGCTTTCTGCTCCCCTAAAGATTTACAGCCTCGGGAACCGTGTGCAGAGTCACTATGAGTCAGAACTGACTCCACAGTACTTAACAACAACAACAATGGTGGAATTAATAAATAAGCTGATTTCCAGAATTTAGGTGAAATCTAACATAAAATACCTGGTTGGTTTCACAAAGAAGACCGTTCAGACAAAAATCAATGGTGGCTGACAGGCTGTCTAAGTAAATTAGCCACCATGATGACAGGAAGTACAATTTGCTGCAGAGTTTCTCCTCAGCTCTACAAATGTCTAGTCGGGTTTATCAGTGTGCCGGGAACGAGTACTCAAATATCAAACTCTAAGCAGCCTTCTCAGTAGTGTCTAAAGTGCTCATTATTTTAGCTTGCGCATCACTTTTCCCATCTTAACCTTCTTGATTACTGGTTTTGGTATGGCCAGTACCTCATTCCTTGATGGTAATACGCTAACTTTAAATATATTATTGGAACAAAACTTTGAAACAAAAGGGGGTAAGAATTCTTATCTCCCAGAGGATTGATTAAAGAGGCTTTAGAAGTACTTAACATGGTGACCAGCTCACTTGCTCTCTTCCTACATTTCACACACACAGGTCTTTTTCCTCGTTCCTCCTTTGCCTGTAACCCTCTTCTCTCACTGCCTCCCCAAACGCCTCTTTGTGTGCATTACTCTACACCTCCTTTAAGCTATACATTTGGTTCTCTATAAAGCCTTTCTTGACTTAACATGCCAGAGTCAGATACCCCTGGGCTCCATTCCTACAGTATCCGTAACTCCTCTTTCATCCCATTTATCAGACCAACTTTAATCCTCTCTCTGTTGGTCTCAGCTCCAGGAAGCTAAAAGGTAATAGTGATCCCATGGCATAGACCTATGTTTGGCCTTGTACAAAATGAGTATTTGTTGAATTAAGGATGTAACTACAACATTAGGTTAATTTTTGATTTGTGGAGCAGAGCAGAGCTGCCCCCACCAAGCTAGAGCTAAGTGCCTTTGGGCTGAGGGTTTTGATGAAGTGGTGTGCCTTGTGAGAACTGATCAGCAGCCCTAAAAGAGCTCTGAACATTGCCAGGGCAAGGCAGCGGTCAGGTCAAGGGGCTGAGGGCCAGAGAGAGGCCTGTTTGTGGGCACAGCCGAGGAGAGGATGTTCTGACTGGAAGAACTGTGCTCTCAGCATTTTTTTAACTTATATCCGAACCTGTTAACTTCCCTGATAAGTCAGTCATACTCGCAGCTGTTTACCTATAAAACAATGATTGGAAATGAAAACATCATCACATCTCTGGGATAAGAGTAATCCTTCTTTCAAAATGCTCAGAAATAGCACACTTAGATTGTAATAATAAATTCAACTTAAAGGCATAAAGCTTGTCTTTGAATTTTACCTCTGACTATTTTATTATTTAAGGAGCTCTGGTAGCGTAGTGGTTACAAATCAGACTGCTAACCTCAGGGCCAACAGTTCGAAACTACCAGCTGTTCCATGGGAGAAAGATGAGGCTTTCTGCTCCCATAAAGATTTACAGCCTCGGAAACCCTGTACAGGGTTGCTATGAGTCGGAACCGACTCCATGGCACATAATCAATCATTCTATTGTACAGGGTTTCCGAGGTCAAAAATCTTTACAGGAGCAGAAAGCCTCATCTTTCTCCCACGGGACAGCTGGTAGTTTCGAACTGCTGACCTTGCGGTTTGCAGCCCGATTCGTAACTACTATGCTACCAGAGCTCCTTTATGTAGAGATTTAAAACTACTATACTTACTTTACAGAAGCAAAGTTACAATTTGTTGTCGCTCTCATTCACTTACTCAGCAAATGAATTCTTGAACACTTACTACCTAAAGGGCAGTCAAAACTAAGCATGCCTCCTCTATAGTCCCATAACATTTGTGCAACACATTGCTACACTCAGTAACCCTGGACAGATTACTTAACCTCTTAGAGAATAAGAGTTCTACCTCATAGGATTCAAGCGCTTCAATATAGAAAGAACACTTAGAATAGTACCTGTCACATAGTAAGTATTGTATTAATACTAACATTATTAGATACTGCTTATCGAATAGTAATTGCATGACTTATTTCCATGTTGATATCACTTCTCCACTATACTATTGATATTGTTCAGTACTGTCAGGTAAGTTTCAACTCATAGCGACCTTATATAGGGTTTCTGAGGAGTGGCTGATGAGTTGGGAGTTCCAGCCTTGCAGTTCAAACTGACCATACAGCCCAGTGTTTATCCTACAGAGCCACACCAAGAGTCCCCACTGTGCTGTGGATACCTCAAAAACCGTGTCTGTTCTGTGGCTCAGTTTTCACCTGAACAATCACACTAAGGAGGTACAAACTCCATAGACTAATTAACCATTTGAGATCAAAAGCGGAACCTTGTTCAAGGACAAAGTTCATAAGGGTTAGGAAAGGAGGAGGATTGGCACCAGAAAATGCATGGAGGAAGTGGGCTGAGTAATGCTCCACTGTGGGGACATGAAACAAAATGTGTATGAATTGTTAAATGAAAAACTGATTTGCTCTGTAGATCTTCACCCAATTCACAATTAAAAGTTAAAAAAACAAACAAACAGGAAACAGAACCCTTTCTGTTCCCCTCTTCTTTGTTTCTGAAGGACCTTACATACCTGGTACTAAATTAGTAAATGTTCATTGGGTAGAAGCTGAAAGAGTTGATGAATATTTGAATAAAACGCATCAAGAATGACACATTGGCAATCATCTTTCTCCCACAGAGCAGCTGGTAGATTTGAACTGCCGACCTTATAGTTAGCAGCCCAACTCATAACCCACTACACTACCTGAGCTCCCTGGCACAGCACTAGAGGATTTCAGGATAAGTAAGCTCCAGTACCTTTCTCAGCCTAGAGGGGAAGGACATGTGCACAAGGCAACATCAATACAAGTCTAACGGGAAAGAATGGAAATAACCAAGTCTGGAGTCTGGGATGACAGAAGAGAAAACCACTGATTCTGACTTAGAAGTTGAGAGATGATGCTGAACAAAGAACCTCTCTTTCAATGCCATCAGAGTTGCCCCCTAAACAATGTTTAAGAACTGGTGAGAAGGTTCTACCTGTATTTGAGTTGACTCAGAATTGTCTCCCCAAAAATGCACATAATGTTATAGTTAAGTACCTTTCATTTCTCTGGTTAAAAATTGGTTAAATTTGTTAAAAATACTGGAGAGCTGCAATCTGAGGCAGCACAAAAGACTTGCACAGGAAGTATCAATTTCTTCCATTTAGATTTCCTAGTAGAATTTTACATCCATCTAAGCTGAGTTGCTTTTTAGTAGACTAACTGATATCAGCAAGGTCGGCAGTTCAAGCTCACCAGCTGCTCCTCGGGTCACTATGGGTCAGAACTGACTGGACGGCACTTAACAACAACTGTTATCAGCAGCAAAGCAAGCAGAAGAGATGTAATTTTAAAGAATGGTATTAATCTTACTAAGAAATGGAGCTGGTGGAGAAGGGTGGGGGGCAGAATTTGAGGTGGTAGCAGATTATCTGCCATTGAATCTGTTTTGAGCAAGAATTCAGTTTGACAAGTCAGAGTTCTATATCTGCTTAGGAGTGGGATAAAAATGGAAACAGTGTGAAAACAACCAAACAGTGCAGGTTCCTACATGAAAAGCACCAACTCAACCTGAGCAGGCTATTAGACTAAATAAGCTTAAAGACCACCGATTAGTGCGTTTACAAGTCGCTCTAAATAGCCTATTCCTTTTAATTAAAGATTCTATTATTTTAATAACAATACTTTATACTCACATGGGGCCTTTCATCTATGGAACTCAAAAGGGTTTTACAAGTGTGGTTTAATCATTATCCCCATTTCAGAGATTGGAAAATGGAGGCACTTAGTCACTTGTACAAACAAGAAGTTCTCAGCCAATTGTTCAAAAACTATTAACTGTGCACATTTTCAAAAGTCCAGAGACACAGCTGCAACTGGTGTATACCCATAAATGCCAACTGGCAGGTGAGACTTGGACCTAAATGACTCATACCAAACTCTCCTGAAATTTAGCTCTTCCTGACAATTAAGTTTAGTGTCTTGTTTTTTTCTTGTTTCAGTTTAGCGCTACAGAGAACCATAAAAAAAGGGAGTACAGACTTTCCCAACTTTGTTTTCCCCAAAGTTTATATTCATTTTTGTTTATTAAGCTAAACTCTCCTACCTATTCCATGACAATGGGGAGTTTCTTCTTTCAATGAACTAACAAAATTTAGAGTCATCAATAGTCAAGTTGCCAGAATCTAACCTATGTGTCTTCCTTAAGGACTTTTGAGCATGTTCCAGGGGTCCTTAGAGCGAAAGGATCAGGTTTAAATTCTGACATAAAGGGATAAAGTTAAAGACTGCTTTCCAACCCATGAAAAAGTTATTCTAGGAAAACAAGCAGTTCACTCTTGGGAGAGAATAAATTGAAGGGTATGAGTCTTGCTTGGGAACACAGGAATAATGATTATTGTGTATGCCAAATAACTCTCCACTCAGGTGCCCTGCGAATCAAAGACAAAGACTACTGAGGATGCCCTAATTGCTACCAGAAGCAGAACTATCCAAAGGTGGTACAGAGAGAGCAATAGTCCTGAATGAGTATGTTGCCACTTAGCCAATTCTAACACATAATGATTCCACGTGGCAGAATAGAACTGCCCAATGAGGTTTTCTAGGCTATAAACTTTACGGGAGCTGTAAACTTTCTTCTGCTGAGCTTCTGGGTAGGCTTGAACCATGAGCCTTTCAGTTAGCAGCCCAACACTTAACCATTACGCCATGAGGACTCCTTTTTTAATACATATAGACAGAGCAAATCATAGTGTAGAGGAGGCAGGCCTCAGACCAAGATTGGGTCTCAGAGCAATGGTTTTCAATGGAGACCATACCATCAAGGAAGGCTTCCTTGGACTGTCTTTGTTGTTGTTGTTGTTAAATACTGTGTAGTCTGTTCCTACTCATAGCAAACCTGAATAGGGTTTCCAAGGAGTAGCTGGTGGGTTTGATCCAACAACCTTGCAGTTAGCAGTCCAGTGTTGATCCTACAGTGCCACACCAGGACTCCACTTGGACTGTCTTCTTGTATTTTTTTTTTGTCTTGTATTTTACAAGACAGGTGCTATTCCTGGCCCACTGCCTTTTTGGAAAAGAGGCCTGGTGGCGCGTAGGCTAGATTATCCAGTAAGTAAGGTATGTTGTTGTTAAGTGCTGTTGAGTCGGTTCCTACCCATAGCGACCTTGTACAGAGTTTCCTAGGATGTAAATCTTTACGGGAACAGAAAGTCTCATCTTTCTCCCACAGAACAGCTGGTAGTTTCGAACTGCTGACCTTAAGGTTCGCAATGACTACGCTACCAGTAAGGTATGCACGGGTCTAATGGCTTTCCCATCAATCTGCAGTGCACAATTTCACTTGTCCCCAACCATGTCAAAGATGTGGTGAAACCCAGGTGAAATTGCTGACCACAGATTAGCCAGTAAACACAATTAAAACCAGGAGTACCACACTCAAGGCAAGCCAGTGCATACTGTTGTTGCTAAGTGCCCTGGAGTCAATTCCAACTCACAGTTAACTGGTTAATCATACTGCTAACTGGTTAATTGGCCCCTGGGTGGCGCCGTGGTTAAGCAGTAAGCAAACCCAAAAAGTCGGTGGTTTAAACCCACCAGCACTCCTCAGGAGAAAGATTTGGCAGTTTGCATCCTTAAGCATTTGTTATTGTTGTTAAGTACCATCAAATGGATCCCGAATCCTAGCGACCCTGTACAGAGTTTCCAAGGAGCCGCAGACTTTGTGGTTAGCAGTCAGGCGCCACATGAGGACTTTATATCCTTAGGAACCTTCTGGGACTGTTCTACCCTGTCCTATAGAATTACTGTGAATCAGAATGGACCTATGGCAGTGAGTTTGGTTTGAGCTTTTCAGATCTGTACATCGTCCTCAGCAGGTACATAGAGGGGATCCTTTTCTATGTTTTGAAAGTAGCACACTCTGAACCTAACTTCCTGTCACTTCTGGAGAAATACTCCCAAAGAAAAAGGAAGTAGCAATTGTTTCTATTGTGTTATTTGCTTTTCTCGTCTTTCCATGTTTAGAAAATTTGCTAACCAGGTTTTTAAAAAAGAAAGAAAGAAAGAGAAAGGGTGCATGGTAATAAGAAGGATTAACCCTTATATTTAATATCCTAATATCTCCTGCCCCTAGTTTCAGTAAGATGAAGATTCCCAACCTTGATAATCTGTGGTACTTCTTCATTGATTACCGTGGAAACAATGATTCTGGAAGTATTTTTGAGTTTTGGAGAAAGAAGTTACTATGTTAATGTGATTTCCAACAGCACATTTTTCCAACGGAATCTGCTGCTTCTCACTAGTCTGAAAAGCTGTAAGAATCTAAGTGACAACAACTATAGGATCAAATTCTTAAAGAGCTTGGAAGAAAGAATAATAGCTACTTAGTAAGCTTTTGGAGTCCTGGTGTGGCACTGTGGGTTAAAGTGCTGGACTGCAAAGTCAGTTTGACCCACAAGGTCAGTGGTTCAAGCTCACCAGCTACTCCTCGGAAACCCTATACAGGGACACTATGTGTTGGAACTGATTCAACGGCACATAACAATAGTAAGCTTTTAAAAACTTTTGTCACATTATTGTCAAGGGCAAAACTAGGACCTAAGAATAAATCACAGAATTAACAATATGACTACAAAATGATTATAAAGCCAGAACTTTTTAAACATTAAAAAAAATTTTAGTATCATTCCAACATCAGTTGTATTTTCTAAGACCCGAGTGTGGAGAGCAGAACCCTGCTGCACTGGGGTTTTCAAGCTGTGATTTTTTTGAAGCCGGTCTCCAGCCATGTCTTCCAGGGTTTCCTCTAGGTGGCTTTGAAACGACTACCTTTTAGTTAGTAGTTAAGTTTGTACTACCCACAACTTTATATAGGTCAGTTATCTGGGTTTACTAGCATCGTGTGAGAACGGAAGTTAAAAACGCTTAAAAAAAAGAAAGAGCTTTATGCAGCTGGTTGGCATAAACAGCGTCCAAGGACTTTGCTGCTTCTGGTGTCTGCTTCATGCGCCAGTCAGCCTTTGTGTGTTTGTCACTGCTGTGTGGTTGGAGGGAGCACCCTGCGGGGAGCACAGACTTCAGAGAAAGACCAGGGTCTAAACGAGAGATACCGAAACAATACCGTTAATGTCCAGTTCAAATCCAGACAAACATGAAGAAAGCCACTTTTACCTCGTAACAACCATCCCTGCCCCAGCTCACTGAGGAAGTTTTGCCCTGCCACTTCTCTGCAACGTTGGCAAAATTACATCCCAGTCATAACTTCAATGACAACGATGGACCCCACTTGAGATCTGTTCTAATTAGAAATGCAGAGAGCAAGATTTCAGAACACTGGCCTCAACTCCTTCATTCAAAATGGCAAGCTTCACCTGCCCCTTCAACAAGTGCAAACCCATTTCAGAAGGAGAGGGCACCAACCCAGTCTTGAAAGGACTTGCTTCCAGTTTCAAAGCTGACTCCAAGCTCTTTAACATCCCCTTCCAGCAAGCACGTCAGTGGTATGTTGGCACGGGCTCCTACAACCAGGCGTGCCCATGTAATGTTTATTTCGTTCTCATAACTAGATGTGCTAGATAATGGTAAGAAGAGAATTAAAAGACCAGCCTTAATCCGTGTGCTTCCTGCAAAATAGCAAAATTAGGTTTGCCTTTCAAAACCTAGCCTCTTCTCTTCCAAAGACAAGACTTGTTTGGGGGCCCACCCCACCACCTCTGTGAGTGCATCTGATTTGCCCACCGAGGCCTCTCACCTGTGCACTTGCAAGTCCGGTTGAAGAATTTCTTGGGCCACTGCTCGCGGTCATCCTGGTTCCTCAGGACGTAAGGACCACTCCAAGGCCTGGAGTCAACTTGCACTTCTGCACACAGCCCCCGACCCTCTTGCCAACCACAGATATTAGTCGGTTCCGTGCCCAGTGGTGGGCAGCACTCTTTGGACAGCAGGCTGCCTGTTGTCATGCAGATCCTGGGGAACTGAGCCCAGGTTGCAGGCAGGATGCCACAGCCCAGGCAACTGAACAGAAGCCCCCACTGAAAGGAATTCATGGCTTTCCACCTAGGAGACGTCCCTCTTACCAGCTCTTTCTGTCTCAGCCACTCTTTGTTTTAAACTTGCTTTTCTCCTTGCCCTTAAGTCTTGAGCATTCCCTCGGTTCTCTTGTTTATAGTAATATTTTTTTTTTTGCTTTGCAATCTGTCCTTCTGTCCTTAAAAATATATAGATACCACAAAATCACCAAACCCACATGCATACACTATTTTGTGCGATTCAAAGCATGAGACAACTACAGCAAATGCAATTTCATGAGAAGCTCATCTAGCAGCCAAATTTAATGAGGAGAGTACTTCTCACCATTTTCCCCTCTGTTAAATCGGGTTTTCTCTAATTGAGTTAATTTACAAAACACTCCAGCCACACTACTTATTACCCTGGTATTTCTGAGCCCTCTCCTTTTCTTCTTGACTTTAATTGCCTTGAATGTAGTTCAAAAGCCAAATGCCGCGCTGCCTTTATTCTGTTTGGCTTGCCAAGCCACGGGACCTTGTGGGGTTTGTGTAACGGCTGGGAGAAGCCGTCATTAGGGGGATTAGTATTAGAGAAATCCTCATCGTTAGCACATGACCCAAAGTGCACAATAAAGTAGATAAAGTTTCTGGCTTTGTTTCAAGAGGGTAAAAGCATCTTCTTTATCTGGGTTCCTGTGCTCCCACCAAGCTTGTGACCTCAGACTTCCCAGGGAGTCAACAGATGCAGTCAGCTCTTCTTGAAAGGCCCTTAACAGAAAACCGTGCACCACTGACTACAATTCACTCATGATTGCTCACTGACGTGTCTGTAAGGCCACTGCAGGAGGTCATACAACCTCAAAAATAAAGAAACATTGATTTAGGGCTGACATACAAGGACTTGCTTTGTGCCACAATTAGGGATCCTCTTCCCTCCAAATAATAACTAATTATTCCCCCAGTTGGCTCATCTACCCAGCAGATGCTTTTAACTGCACAAAGTAGCATGTCACTAGAAATTTGAAATTGTCCTTCTCTAATTGTAATGAGGCGGCACAATGGCACTGAACAATAAGCACAAGGTCAGCGGTTCAAGCCCACCATCCGCTCAATGGGAGAAAGATTAGGCTCTCTGCTCCTGCTAAGATTCACAGCTTTGGAAACTTATACAGGGTCACTATGGGTTGGAACCTACTTGATGGCACTTAACAACAACAACAATTGTAATGAAGATAGCCATATAATTTGAAGTGATGGTATATAGACTTTGTCATTTGATTCATATTAAGTAGGTAAGTTTTGTTAATCTTTGGTCTAGATAGCAATGTCTCCTAGACCTGAGGCTGGGGGCGTGGGAGTGGCATGCAGATCAGCAACAACTGGGGCCACATGTCAGAACATCTTCGGACTCTTTGGTGGCTAACACAGGGCCTTCTCAGTACCACCAGCTTTTGTAGAGACAGCCAATATGAACTGTGCCCGTCAGTTTCAAGAATAAGTTCTTCAAAGAAGAAAAATATTATGTTGCAAAACAGATTCCTAATGTTACAAACAACAACTTTATGCAGTTGCTTCTTCTCCAAGTATCTCTTTGATTCCCCACAAAAACATTAAGTTGTGACATTAAATGGCACTTCTCCACACTGGCTGTATACTAACGCCATCTGGTACCCAAGACCAGTTGGACCTGGAGTGTGGCCCAGGCCTCAGGATTTGGTTAAAGCTACTACTACACAGGCAGATTTGAGAACCACTGAGTCACAACCAAGCACAGCTCTAAAGGAACTGTTGAAATCGAGTCACCTAAAAGAGGCCATCCATGGGGAGAAACAGAAATAATTCCAGCATCAGAACATCTCAGAACTGGAAGGGTTTCTGGACCCTGTTTCATTCATTCTGCATGTATATATCAGCTGTCACTTCTTGGTGCTTTTGGATTTTGTTTTGTTTTATAAAGATGTGGGACTACATAAATATTAGAGTCAATTTTTTTGGAAACTAAGAATGATGGAGACAGCAACTCAAATGTCATAATGTACCAGGTCTAGGTCCTGGCATCTTTTCTTTCTTAATTGTCCTTACTGGGTAGCTTATCTAGGCCCCTTGAATATATCTAGCATCTGTAAATGCAGGTTATTAGGACACTTCCAAAATTTGACTCTGACTCTGACTCTGCTGTGAGCCCTAGAGTCTGTATCTAACTTTGTACCTCAAGTAGACATTTCTCACTTAACATGTTCAAAACAATTTTTGCTTTCTCTGCCTGCTACCAAATTTGTGCCTTCATTGATCCTATAAAAAGTCATCCTTGATTCCTCTCTTCCCTTCATTCTACACTGCACTTCGAATAAAATCCAAGGTTCTTTCCACAGCCTATAACAGGGATAAGGAATCCTGGTGGTGCAATGCTTAAGTGCTTGGCTGCTAGCCAAAAAGTTAGTCACTCAAATTCACCCAATATATCCACGGGAGAACTGGCAATCTCCTCCCTAAAGATCACAGCCAGGAAAACCATATGGGTCCGTTCATCACATGGGGCCACCATGACTTGGAATCCACTCGAAGGCACCCAACAACATAACAGAGTGGCTCCAAGTGTGGTCTGCAGATGGACAAACCATGTGTTCCCAGTGTGCACCAAGAGATTTACAGAGATTGAGAATCCATGATCAGTGTACTCCACTCATTGATGGAGTAGACCAGTTGAGAGGTGGAGTAACCTGCATGATGATTATCATGTAGTACAGGCTGGGACCTAGTCATGTGCAGCTGGATCTTGTATGGATCCGTGATTGATTTTTTAAAGGTGATTCTTCACCATAGATCCATCACCTATCTAGCAGTTTATCGTACTGTTGTTAAGTGCCATCAAGTCAGTTCTGACTCATAGCAACCCTGAACAGGGTTTCCAAGGCTATAAATCATTACGGGAGCAAAAAGCCTTATCTTTCTCCTGGGGAACAGCTGGTAGTTTCAAATTGCTGACCTTGCAGTTCGTAGCCCGATTCGTAACCACTATGCTACATTGATTGAAGATTGAAGTTGTCAAGGACTTCATTCTTCTTGAATCAACTGTCAACACTCATGGAAGCAGCAGTGAAGAGATCAGACGACATATTGCATTAGGCAAATCCGCTGCACCGGAACTTTTTAAAGTGTTGAAGAACAAAGATGTCAGCTTGAGGACTAAGGTGTGCCTGACCCAAGCCATGGTATTTTCAAGAACCTCATATGCATGCGAAAGCTGGACAGTGAATAAGGAAGATCGAAGAAGAATTGATGTCTTTGAGTTGTGGTGTTGGAGGAGAATACTAAAAGTGTCACGGGCTGCCAAAAGAACCAATAGATCTGTTTTGGAAGAAGTGCAGCCAGAGGGCTCCTTAGAGGCCAAGATGGCCAAACTTTGTCTCTCATACTTTGGACGTATTGTCAGGAGGGAACAGTCACTGGAGAAGGATATCATGCTTGGTAAGATGGAGGGTCAGAGAAAAAGAGGAAGACCCCTAACGAGATGGATTGGCCAGGTGGCATCATTGATGGACTCAAGTGTGGCAGCGGTAGTGAGGTTGGCCCAGGATCGGACATTGTTTCGTTCTGCTGTGCATGGGGTCTCTATGAGTCAGTTCCGACTCGATGGCACCTGACAACAACAACAACAACAACGCTACATATTGCTGTGATGCTGGAAGCTATACCAATATTTTGAGTACCAACAGGGTCACCCACGATGGGCAGGTTTCAGTGAATCCTCCAGACAAACTAGGAAGAATGAGCAGTAGACCACTTCTGAAAACCTTATGTATAGCAGTGGAACATTGTCTAATAGAGTGCCTGAAGATGAGCCGCTCATAATTTGAGAAGAATTGGTTTATAAAATCCTACCTGATCTGTCCCTCACAAACGTCTCTTTCCTTCTTGTTCTGCAATCACAGAGGACTGCAATCACTTTGGTACTCAACTGTGTTATGTTCATTTCCACCTTGACCCTGCACTACCATCCCCTCTGCCTGAAATGTTCTTTCTCAGGATCCTTCTTGTCATTCAGATTTCAGCTCAAATGTCAGCTCCTGAGAGAGGACTTCCTTGACCACTTCACTTTAACCACTACCACATTGCACTGTTTTGTTTTCTTTATACCACTTATCACAAAGCAAAGTTATCATCTTTATTTCTTCAATTGCTGATAATAGATCTTCTCATAGATTCCAGAAAAGCAAGAACGTTAACGGTGCGGTGTTCCCCCAACACATGGCAAAAACAAGCCACTTAATAATATTTGAAAGATAAAGAGGTTTCCAACTATGATAGAAAAATGGAATCCAAAGGTAATGGGATTTTTCATGAACTTTATGAAGCCCCTTCATAAACTATTTCAAATATTATAATAAAATGTGCAAAGACCTGGAGTTAGAAAACCAAAATGGAAGAATACACTCAACATTTCTTAAATGAGGGAACTGATGAAAAAATTGAAACCTCGACTTGCAATATTGAAGGATTCTATAGGCAAACTACTGAATGATGCAGAAAACATCAAAAAAAAAGGGGGGGAAGGAATGCAAAGAGTGACTGTACCAAAAAGAAATGGTTGATGTTCAACCATTTCAAGAGGTACCATACGATCAAGTGCCAATGGCACTAAAGGAAGAAGTTTAAGGTGCATTGAAGGAATTTCAAAGAGCAAGGCTCTGGGAATTGATGGAATACAAATTAAAATTTTCTAACAAACTTATGAAGTACTGGAGGTACTCATTCATCTTTGCCAAGAAATTTGGAAGACAGCTACCTGGCCAACTGACTGGAAGAGATCCATTTTGTGCCCATTCCAAAGACAGGTGACCCAACAGAATGAGGAAATCATCAGACAATATTATTAATATCGCATGCCAGTAAAAATTTGAAGATAATACAAAAGCAACTAAAACCATTTATTAACAGAGAACTGTCAGAGGTTCAAGCTGGATTCAGAAGAGTACGTGAAATGACAGATATTGCTGAAGTCAAATGGACCTTGGCCGAAAGCAGAGAATACCAGAAAT